CAAACTGTGAATTAAAACTAATTCACAGTGTGTGTGTTTGCTGGAGAAAATGAAAGCTGTAAACTCAATTTCTCCTTTGACCTGCTGTCATGAGGTAACATTTCCTCTCCTTTCGATTGATACAGCGATACTAGTTGATCCAGACATGAGCGTGTCTGCAGAGTTTTCTCCACCCCGTCTATCATGGATCAGCTGTGATCGCCGCTGCCGTTTATCAGTGTCACTCATCGGTAAATAGCGCCAGAGCGTTAGAGCCAATAGCAGCCTTTTTACGATAATGTATGATTAAAGGTACAGTTCATATATCTGACTGCTTGTCCTAAAGGACAAAACTATATTGCAAATAATATATACATATTTATACATTTTATAGCAAGAATTGTTGTGCTGTGTTGTAAAATATTAAATTGTGTATGGAAAGCATCGTCACTGCACCATGATGCACCAAGATATTGAATTTGAACCGAATCCGTGGCATGATAATCGTAACCGAACTGAATCATAAGACTAGTGTAGGTTCACACCTCTAAGATACAGTATATTTCTTTACTTTTGAATGATAAATGATGCTCTGTTAGGTTGGCCCTTGGTGTTGCTGAAGGAAGAAACCCTTTTTTATTTTGCTTGGATTTTCTCCGCATTATCTATCAACTTTGCTATCTAGATCAATCTGCAATCATAGATTACCGTTTCCTGTCACAGTGTGAAAAAGTGATAACTTTTCAACCCTTTGTGCACGTCAGCTGGCAGACTTGACGTCTATATCTTGCTCTCTCTGTCACACACTCCATCTGTACCGTTATCTCCTGCTTCGTATCATTCTCTCACATGCTGCCGCAACCTCTATCTTCGGGTCTCCTTCCCTCAATACCCGATGTGCACAGCATTCGATCCCGACACACAGATCTGTCGGCTTTGAGAAGCTGATGGCCAATCTCCGTGTCTGCCTCCTTCACAGAGGAAAGGTAGAAAAGAGGACATGGAATAAAATGAGAGGCCACGAGTAATGGGATCAACTTATCAACTTCCACACCTGTCCCAGTGTAGCCCTCAAAGCGCAGCTCATTAGATCCCAGCGGCCCTTTTTCTCGCTCTGGGCCCAGATATTACTCTGAACCCTCGATGAACTGAGAGAGCCACACTTTCCCCAGACAGCTTAAGACTGAGCTTGTAATATGACCATGGCATGCTGTGCCACAAATTGTTTGGATATTGGATGACCCCCCAGTGGGCCCTCCGGTGCATTTGCACGAGAGGACTCACAACACACACATACACACAGACGAATGATGGAGTTTGGATTGGATTGTGTTTATAATTTGTTATTCGTGTATCACTTCTGTATTGGTTTCTGTCACTTAAAGCATCTCTATTAAGCTATTCGTGTTTTGTTTTGGAGGTGTGTACATCCAGTCAAGGTCTCTTTTCCAAAAGCTGCTCTGTGCTGGTCAGATAGCCAAGTCTGTTGTGATTGGTCTTCGTCCTACGGCATGTGTTGAAAATGTAACGCTCATTACCATATTCTGTATTTGAGCTCTGGAGGCTTCCTCAGCACTCGCAAACACAAACATTCTGTGATTCAATGGCAACAATGGTGTCAGTTCTCAGAGTTCTCATCCTTTAGAAAGTGGAATTGCTTTTGCATCTCAGAGAACGTCTCTTTGAAATGTAGAATAGGGAAACAAAATTCGTCTAGGGCTCAGTTTTCGTTATAACTAAAGTGTTTGAGAGTCAAAGTAGATTTTGTTTTCAATAAAAACCATAGGCTGGCATAAAGCCAATTCTTTGGATATTGAATGACCCCCTATGTTGGATGCCCCCCTTAGTGTAGCATTATGGTAGGGTTTGCAACATACACAAAAGATGCGAGCAAGTTTGGCAAAAAAAAGCACAGCCAATATTGGTGAATCCTTTCTAATGTGCTTTATATTAGCTTGAAGTACCCCTATTATGAAATCCTAATTTTGTTTTTGAGGTCACTGAAAGCTTTGCATAATGTACAACGCGAGTTCAGCTTTCTTTTATTTTCCACAGTGTCTGAAAAAGGGTTGTTAAAAAAACGAAAGGCAGGGATACACTACGTATTTCTTAAATTTTTGCAAAAGATATGAATTATTAGACAAATCCTTTTGTGGTGAGTGAGAAGTATTGTGAAAATAGTTTATTGATGCTGCTGCTTTTACTGTTTGTATGTGTACAGCAGTAGTTTTAATTGCCGCTAGTTCTTCGATATCAGGTTGGTGTTGCTTAAGCCCTTCCTTTCCATGAGCTGCTTTGTTCTGATTGGTCAGATGGCCCCGTTTGGTTAGATTAAGGTATACTTACACTAGGTAAAGTTGCCTTGAACCACGCGAATGTCCCCCTCCCCTCTCCCTCGACAGCCTGGATTCACACTGCATTTTCCCTTTCAAACCCGAGCACGCTAGCGTCATCGATGATTCAACTGTTCAGTTTAACAGGAATAGAAGCGCTTTCGCTCAGCACAGTGGCCATTACTTTAGTTATATCGTTTTGTATTATTTTTAGTCATTTGGGATGCAGTGACATGTAGTCAAAAATTTTGTCGAACAGATCCACAACTTTTGACGCTCATAAATGATCAATAAAGTCTTCATGCTGCACATATTAGGAGGTTTGCTGAAGGTGTAGCTGACGTGCAGTGAATAAACTATGAGAGGATAACTATGACAGTTTGCATTCATTGAAAAGTAATAGTGATTAATAAATCCATGTGAAACAGTCCCTTAAAAGTCACATTGTGTCTTTAGTTTCGGACTCAAGCACTACAAGCTTACCACGCCAAAGCCCAACCGAACGGTGCTCTGGCACACCATTTCCAACTGAACTGCTCAATTTGGAGGACTCACACTTGTCAAACAACACGGGAGACAGTTTGGATAGCCTAGTGTGAGTGCACCATTACACTAATCTTTGAGTCATTTCTGAACTTTTGTATTCAAAGAGAGCTACCTAAACAAAAGAAATCACAAAAATAGAATTCAGTTTAAAGAGAATCTAATGTTTTCATGTTTTGCATTTGGTTCTGCCTTTGGAAGGCATGTTATGTCAACCATATTACGTTGTGCCTGTTCTTGACATGTAAAGCAAGTTAATTTAATGCTGTCAAAAGCTCAGAACGACCCACAGTTTATTCCTCACCCAAGCAATGGGAGAGAAATGACAGCAACATTTATAATTTGTCCCACTGTAATTTTTTTTTTGCTGTCAAGCTAATCCCCAGAAGTGCAGGCTTCTTTTAATCAAATTATTTGATGAAAGCTGAAGGCAAATTGAGCAGTTCTTTTACAATTAATTATCAAAAGACCGGCACACAACGCAAGGCTTGTTATAGATTGAACTCGCGTTTGAACATTGATTCAGTCTTTTTTTTTCCTCATGACGAGATGTTTTTCCTCTATCACTCTCCAACACACAATCACGCACACTAAATTATTCACCACTTCCTTTTGGCACATTATAAGTTTGATTTCTCTCTTAATTACTTTGCTGTCTTTTTTATGTCAGCATGTTTGCACTGTCAGCTCCCCATCTGGCTCCAAAGGCTTGCCTGGAGGTTCAGGTTCAAGCCAGATATTGAGATCTGTGCTAGCTTCGCTCTGTCCTGGTCATGTTTCAGCATAGCTCTCTTTCCATGTCCATATGGCAACGGTATTGATCAGAGGCCGAGTGCAATGTCAAATTTGTTTCTTCCTCTGCTGAGGTTACTGAGCTGGTGATTTGCATGCAGCGGGCATGCAATGGATTTGTAACAGATATACAGATCTCATAATTTAATTGTCCGTGCCGAAACAGACTCTGAAAAGCCTCTAATGGTTATGCTTAAGACTGATAACTGTTAAGAATTTTGACCTCGCAAGTACATGAACTCAAGTCAAATTCATGCTCATTTTAATAGGCTGTTTGGGAGCTGAATTTTTCCATTGAAAGTCAAGTTGCGCAATTAAAGTGCATTATAATATAGCACAAAAATGCAGAACATTTTTAAGCTTTTTTTTGTTGATTGTGTTTTAAAAGAACAGAAAAAGGCTTAAAGGACTGCTCTTTTTGCACCCGTGTCTTGTTACTGTTGTCCTCTTGCAGTGAGATGCTCAGTCTCATAGGGGTTTAAAGCTTCATCTCCCCTCACCCGCTGCAATGCAGTATTGAAAGACATAGTGAATGAGAAAAGGAAAGTGAATAGACATATAAATCCATCTCTTCCGTCCTTCGATACAGAGAGAGGGATTACAAACCCCCTATTTTTATTTCTCCTCCAGCTCAGACAGCTGATGCAGTGATGGCGGGTGAGACCGAGGGAGAGAAAGCGGCCTACTTGCAGATATGCAGTATTCTTAATGTGACTTTGACGATCCCACTGAGGGATTGAATGACAGTCAGTCAATAGGGGAGCAACACGTCTGCCTGAGCAGCAATATCTCTGCAAGCCAGTGAGAGAGACAGAAAAGATAAAAAAAAAGCAAAGCAGAGAACAAATGAGGGGCAAAAATGTCTTTGAATATGTATTCAAATAACTACTTTTATATAGTAATGTATTCATTTTTGTATTTATATTTATTCAGTTTTATTTTTATAGCTATTAAGATTAGTAATATTTATAATGCATCATTTTTATTAAGTCTTTATTCATACAAGATTTTATAAACCATTGCATTTTTTATTTCTGCATTATTATTTTCTACAACTGTAGATGTTACTGAAAGGTGGTTTTGTCAATTTTACCTCACCTCTGGGGATAGTTTTGTCCTCAAACCATGGGGACACACACGCATACACACCGTAGTGTCTAACTAATTAGCAGCCAGGCAGAAGGAGAGAAAGATAATGAGAGAGCGAGAGAGGCCTGATCTCAGTCATTTAGAGGAGAGAGAGGGGTATGGCAGGTCTCCTCTGCTCCTGTAAACCTCTCATCTCCTGTCTCTGCTCTTCCTCTCCATCCTCCCCCAATGACCCTCCTCATCCTCCCTCTTTCTGCTTCACAGATGAGTTTAAGGGCACGAGCACTGTGGAGCTGATCAAGAAGGAAGGCACCACTCTGGGCCTGACTGTATCTGGAGGCATCGATAAAGACGGCAAACCCCGCGTCTCCAACCTGCGGCAGGGCGGCATCGCTGCTAGGTCAGTACAAGTGACGCATTCAAAAGATCATTTGGAGAAACAATACGATATGTTTTAAAATGTTTGATGCATCATGATGGAAACCTGTTTGAGAACAGTAATTGATGAATTAATAATTGAGATTTTTTTGCTTAGATGTATTACTAAAATATTTATTTGTTCATTTATATTGTCTCTATTATTTATAGTTTTGGATAAATGTACTCAGTTTTGAGAAAACATAAAGAGACACAGTTCTCAGTTTATCTAGAATTACAATTTGTAGTGTTGTAAAATTAAAAATGAATAGAGAACCCAGTCCAGGAGACTTAAAACCAAGCAGAATTGATTTATTGAGACGTGTTGGTTAGTCTGCAGTCATACAGCATCTTCATGGAGTCCACGAGTCTGCAAGAGCCTACCGGAGTCTCTTACAGGTCTGCATGTTTTATCACCAGTCTGTAAGCAAGTCTAAAATGAGTCTATTATGGGTTTTAGGAAGAGGAAAGTGGTTAGGTGGAGACATTAAAAACGGGCATGACTAGTTTAGTTGAAAATCTTGTTTTAGGATCCTGAGGTTTTACCTGCCCTGACCAGCTTGAAAGTATCACCCAAAGACAAAGGCACTGACGTTGGGACTTTAGCATTTGCATCATTTTGGCACAGCTAGGCCTCAGGAAGCAGAAGGTTTTAAATTAAATGAGATAATTAAAAAAAACAAAAAATACAACTTTTCAGATATATGTAGATTATTGTTCATTTGGAACTAGATTTTATGCATATATATATTTTATATTCCCACGGTAGTTATGTGTTTGCGTAAACTGTTATTACTGTTTTATTTTGTACAATACTAATCATATTTCTTTCAAATTTCATATAAAACATTGTCATTTAGAGCGATTTTTAATGTAAATGATTATTTTCTTTGTTTTCAGAAGTTATATTTATTTTTAAGCAACTGTTGAAATATTTAGCCAATTGTGTGCGAATTCAGTGAAAAAGATCAAAAGAGGATTTTCTTTAATTTATTAGATACAATTAATTGATTCAATACACAGAGCTCTGGGTTACACCAATGCAATGCAAGAAATACGTTCAGGAGGTGTGCAACAAAACTGCATTTTGACTCCAGTATTTATACACAACTGATATTAGTAGGTGGAGTCTTTGTGTAATTCGTCACTTGTCAGTCATTCTGCAGTCCTTTGGCAGTTGCACCCAAACATACTTCCTCTTTCTGCAACCCTTTTCTGCATACCAGAACTGAACAGTTAAGTGCATCTTCAATATATTTCACAACTTCTACAAGCATCCAGCTCCTTGTGACCGTAAACATGTCTAGACTTGTTTACTAGACTAGAGCAAGACCCCCTCCCCCACTTGCACTATTTTTATTGTTATTCTTCTCTTGTCTTGTTATATTTCCCTCTTGTCAACAGTTCCTTCAATTAGTATGCAAGAAAGAAGAAGTTTGTTTGGTTAATATATGGTATCATACAAAAGAAGAAGACTGATTAATCTGTTGTTACAGATCGTTTAAGTATTTTTTCTAATAAAAGAGTAAAGAACACAACGCATTAACAATGCTTTAGAGGTAATATTTTTATCTCATGTTTGGATTAAATTTTATCACACCATTATAGTATAAAACTATACATTATTAACATTTTACTCAAACCCAAACTTCAAAAGCAAGGGAATCCAGAGAAACTGAGCATATACATAATTTAATTTATGCATTTGTTATTTAAAGCATTTATTATTTATTTGTATTATCTTTAGGTTCAATTTTGCAGATGCCAGTGGTTTGGAAAATCACCTTGGAGGCTTTGTGTTGTCAGGTTTTGTGTATATGCTAATGATTTTTGCTAAGACAGCATCAATAGACAAGCCCAGAGAGATCAATGTGTTCGTAGTTTATTGTGGAGGAGTTTGTCTGGGAAGCATGTACTCTCTCTCTCTCTCTCTGTCTCCCTCCCTCTATCTCTCTCTCTCTCTGTTTGTGTGTATGTGTGTGTGTCTTTGTGAACATGTTTTATCTTTTCACTCTGTGTGTGTATGTGTGTGCATGTGTGAATAAGGTAGACAGAATCTTTTAATCAATACTGCATAAGCCAGAACTCTTCTCCCATTTCCCTACTGGCTCTCAAAGATGGCAGACAGCCTGCTGTTCGCTAGTGTGTCAATTCTCCACAAACACTCACACAGACGTACACACATCCCAGTGAATGGATCCATATTCAGATCCCGGAACAAATACCGCACAAGCTCTATAGAAAAGCGCACACGATTTACACCCTCTTTTCACAATGACAGATACTTTTCTTCAGCAAAGGAACTGTTTGACTTTAAATGTTTTGCTGCATATCAAGTCTTGTATCTTATTACCACAGAGACACTCGGTCTGATAATTTTACTCAAGCTGAAATAAAATGCCTAACATCACACATAGTTCTTCCAGAATCTGTTGACAATCAGGCCGCCTTGTAAAATGCGAGATCTTTCAACTGCGTGTATGTGTGTCAGAGAGGGAAGGAGAGAGAGACTGGAGCAGCTTGTCTTGATCTTGCTAGATGCTTCCTTAGAACAAAGTGTTCTCTTCATGGGCTCAGATCAGCTATCAAAGCGCCTCAGAGCTCGACCTGACTCCATCTCCGCCTTTCTTTATTCATTCTCCTGCCTTTTTACTGTCTTCTTTTTGGTTATGCAATTTCCTCTTCTCTGCAGGATCTACATCTCTGTGCTTTTCTTTGCAGGAGTGACCAGCTGAACGTAGGGGACTACATAAAGTCTGTGAACGGGATCAACTTGACTAAGTTTCGTCACGATGAGATCATCAGTCTACTGAAGAATGTGGGGGAAAGGGTTGTGCTGGAGGTCGAGTATGAGCTGCCGCCTGTCTGTGAGTGAGATTATTAAAATCAATAATGTTACTTGTAAGGGGTCATTATCACAGAAAGCATCTAAGAAACACCAGATGCAGCATTCAGGATTTTTAAAATAAGCATCCACCAAGTTAACGTCCAATAAAATAGTTGTCATGCCAACATGCTACTGTAAACAGAAGCTTGCAGCACTTGCCCAAAGACCATAGATATATACACTAGATATCGCATACGGACACTGAGCTTGTGTCAATATCGCTGCCACATTTGTACAGTGCTCCCAGGACGAAAGTCATTCTACCACACTATTCAAGATTAAAGCCAATGTGAAGATGCAGGACTTTTTTACTGTGCATGAGTGTAGTAAGAAGCAAACAAAGAAAACAAAACATAAAGGCATAACATTTATAGACACATTTTTATGATTTTGTTTGTTAGGAACGTTTGTGTTAAACAAGTAATGTTATTGATGATAATACAGTCACTTACTGCACTGACCATAAGGTAAAGTAGCTAGACTTATGCTTGTTTTGTTGAATAAAATCAGCAAATAATGTAAATGAAATATGACAACAAGACGCTGAAACGCAGAAACTTGTATTATTGTCAGCTAAGTGAAGTAACGGCTCATTTTTGAAGTAACTTTTAACATAACAGTGCCTGTGCCTCAATATGCATACTGTCCACCCTAAATCGTTGAATATTACAAATGTTATATACTGTACTGTTTTGATAAGAAAGGTGGATATGCACATTGAGACGCAGGGATATCGGTGGTTCATATGAGTCATTCATAACACAAACCAATCACTCCCTCTGTTAAAAGTGAAAGCAGGATCAGAGGGGGTGTTTCAGAACACTGATTAAATCAAATTTTACAGGGTGGGAGGATAATACATTTCCATGCACACAAGCACATGCTTTTTGTCACCAATAAACATGTGGTTACTTATCCATCAATATAGAAAAGTGATGTAAAATTATAATTTTAGTAAGGTCAGTCCTCCACTGCACCTTGGTCCTACATTCATTACAAAGGAACGCTACCCTGTACTAAAATGGCGGCTCTATTGATGCATTCCTTTCAATAGACAACATAGGCTTAAGCGACATCTAATGTAAATATATATGCGCAAAGACTATAGAATACACAAGACATGTTACTCCTATAGTTTTGAATAGGGAAAAGTGTAATGGTCATATGGCGAATGAAACCCCGCCTTCAAGTACAGGAGCCAATCAGCGATCGATGTAGACTGACGATTCCCTGTGGGAGGGGCTTGGATCAGACGTGAGTTTCTGCAGATTTTAAAAGTTTAGAAATAAAACTAACGAGACAGATTTTGTTTAGTTTTATTGGTGCTTCCTAATATGAAATTTAATCATACGCAATTTTGGAGAATGTGATGTTTCCCCATTCAAACAGAATGCCCGAGGATACTGCCCAAGAGGCGTTTCAAAGATGGCTGCCAAGTGAAATGGCTTGCATTTGAGGGACTTTGACTTGCCCCACCTCTGAGTTCCTCTGATTGGTCCACTGCTTTGTAACTAACATTGAGCAAGTTGAAATTCTTTTAATTTGACATGGTGTTTTTCATCAAGTCTGTATTTACATAGACAAACAATGGAGAAGTAACACATTGAAATAGAGAAACACATTCTGTGTGAATAACTGCACAGTTTGGATACTTGATGCTGATTTTTCAGCCATAGTAATCTGCATTTTTAGAGTAATAAACAATTAACTGTTTACTGTATTTGTTTATATTAATATATAATTGTTCAGTAAGTTTTGTGCTGGTATCTTGGCTAGTTTAGCCCTGTCATCAATAAATAAATATGACAGTGAAACTGCCAGGAGGCAAGTCCCAGCCTTAATGAAGGACTCATTCATTAAAATGATTTGTTCAAAACAGCTGATTCATTTAGCTATTAGGTAAGTGTCATCATCCAAAATCATCCAAATAGCCCATTGCACCCTACATGCAAAGTGCCACATCACATCTTTTAGAATTCTAAACATTGATTTATATGAGGGTACGCACATCGCTGCCAACATTTTGCATTGATTCACATTGCTTAGCAATATATAGAAAGCAATGCAAAAACAAGGCACAGCAAGGCTGGTGTATAACCAACTTTACTGTAAAGCAACAATAAAACAAAAAAATAAACATCTCTTTTTATTTGGCCAGTGTTCAACATAATACTCTCAAAAATGTAATTAGAGCAACACCTACAACTTCTTGATGACCTTCATCATATATTTTGGAGAAAATGTAAAGCACAGCTCACTCCTTTGGTTTTCTTTTTAACAATGTAAATGTATTAAGTGGTTCAGGCAATGTATGAGTGAAAATCTGTCCGTGGATTGTTATCATCATAGATGATAAATATTATGCACCAGCCTGCCTCTGATTCATTGCAATGACACCTGTTTTATAACAGCACACTTACACTGAGTTTCTTCACTCTCTATATGATGTAATCTGTAGTTTGATGTTCATTCATATGCTCTGGTCAAGCATTGAAATCTTGACAGAACTTTGAACTGTTCATTTCTTTCCTCAGCTGTACAGGGCTCAGGGGTCATGTTCAAAAACGTGGAGGTGACGCTGCACAAAGAAGGCAATACATTCGGTTTCGTCATCAGAGGTGAGCAGACTTCCACACATCAGAGCTCAATGCGCTTCATTCACATCTACATCAAACAAAGAGAGACCATTCTTCGCTGAAGATTTATTTTGCTGCCCTTGGGCCTGTTGAAAGAGACGCAACAGCTTTCAGTAGCACCGCTAGCACTCGATTTCTAAATATTTACCAAACAGCATTTTAGACTTCATTAAAAGAAAGACATCTTTTTTTCATATCCATCTAGAGTATGAAGTCTTTTGAAGAGCGGCAGAAAAAAAAAAGCCAAGGTCTTGGTTAGCTTTGCTCCTTTTCTCAAATCATTCTCAAAGAGGCATACTAAGGACTTCCTTTTCATCTTTGAGACTCCATTTGTGAATTCAATGGCATGCAATTTTATAGCGAGCAGCGGCTTTAAAAATGTATAATCTTGTGCTTTTGTTGAAAAATATATGGAAATTTCATTGAGGTGAGAAAACGGCCTTTATTGTCTTTCAATAAGACGCTGTATGGAGCTGATTGGCCAAATGTACTGTATGTTAAAGCATCGGGTGTACTGTATGTCTTGCTGTATGACTTCATTTGATAAACATGTCAATACGAGTTGTTTTCTTCCTATGATGTAGGAGGCGCCCATGAAGACAGAAACAAATCTCGCCCAGTTACCATAACAACCATCAGACCCGGCGGTCCAGCTGACAGGTGAGTTGTTCCTGAACTCAGCTAGATTCATCAGCACTGACATTAAAGCTTTCTTCCAAAACATAAACAGCATCCTGAACAAAAGTGGCTGAAAAGAGACTGATTAGAAACACTCTGATCTAGGCAGGAGAAATTTCCATATTATACAAAAAGTCGAAAGTCTAACAATTGATTTCGGTGGAGTTGGTGTTAGCATTTTGCTTAGCTAATGTCAGTACTGTGATTCAGTAAACAGATGAAACCTAGGAATCTTGTTCCAATGAAGTTGTTTATTCTTTACTTACAGAAACTAAAGCATCTTCAGTTTTAGAAATCACAAAGTATTACTTAGTGTTCCCAGAGTTCTAATTATGTAAAGCCCCGGCCAGATCATACGGTTTTTATTGTCAGTTATGAAAGTCAAATTATGCGATTTTGTCTTAATCAAATCTTAACTTCTCTTGGGCAAAAAATGTGCCAGACTAAAGGTTCCTTCACAATCAGTCATCTCGTGACATCCACAATAAGCGTTATTTCCCAAAGCAGTCACAAGTGTTGCTATAACAAAATTTCTTATCTTAATTTCAATGTTTTAAAATTTTATTTCAATTTCAATAAACACTGATGCTTGCTGACAATTAGGTCATAAAATTGTTATAATATAAAATTTTGTTATAACATTGATGGGATCAAACGTTTATTTTCTTTTTAATATTAAGACTTATTTTAATATCTCCATTTTTTTAAAATAAGATAAATGCTTAAAACTTAAAATAGTCTTGTAGCATTTACAGTGCTGTTGACTGCCAAGAAATTATTATGTAGTTGCATTTTTTATTTTATTTTTCTGTGCATGTCATATTATTTTTAACTCTTGCATGCTTGTTTGCTCTCTGTGGTGCTTGCAATGGGTTGAACTTTTAACTTTACTGGTCCCCCCTGAATAGACTGTAGTCATTGCTGCGAAATGACAAGAAATTGCTTGATGAAAATAGTGTTTCCCAGTCAGAGTTCCTTTCAGACCCGGAATAGATTGCCCTGCAACTTCAGCACTCGCTTGAGAATTGCAAATGGACCGGCACGATATTTCACTCACTCTGGCGTTTGAACTGCTCCGTTATTACCGTCATTACACGCCAGCCCGTCTCTCCCGTTCCCCTCAACCCTTATCAATATTCATTTTGCACACTGGTAATTTCATTTCTTACCGACAGAGAATTCCCATATCTTTTGTTCAGCAGCATTTTTTATTTTTTTTAAGTAAATATTGTGTTCTGTTCCACTGCAATTTGGTATTGACTGGCCTCTGACATCTTGCAGTCGCAAAGAAAGGCTCCTTTTGGAAAATAAAAACTGCAGAATACATTTTATATGAGGCTTAAATCAAGCCTTTAAGCAAAATGTTACTCTTAGAGTGATTTCTTGTTTTTCCAGGTTTAAACATGCTTTGAAGCAGTCGTCACATGTATCTCAATGGACTGATCTAGCAAAAAGTTTTGTGCACAGATGAACAAGTTGTCAATGATTTACACAAAATGCCAGGCCAGCAGTTGGCAATGTCACTTTTCAATGATGCACTCATACTGTTTTATATTTCACCATTGTTTTTTTTGATTTTCAAACACACTTTTACTGTGGTTTCCTGAAGATCTCTGGTGTATTAACCACAGACGCCATAATAACAAAAGGAATGCGTGTAATTATGTGTAACACCTGTAACATGTCTATTTTTATGAATAAACTTGCAGAAGACGTGCAATTATGTCTCTGGGTCCCTTTTGTGTTATTCAAAAAGCCAATTTTAGTCTTTGTTGTCTTCTGTTTTTTTCTCAGGGAAGGGACCATCAAACCAGGCGACAGGCTGCTCAGTATTGACGGAATTCGTCTGCATGGAGCGTCTCACGCAGAGGCCATGAGCATCCTCAAGCAGTGCGGCCAAGAAGCCACTCTTCTCATAGAGTACGATGTGTCAGTCATGGGTAAGGACACGCCCACTTCAATTACTCCCATTTATTTTTATGCAAAAAAGCCAGCAATAAATGTATGCAACATAATAATATTATTAATAATCCTTTTTGAAATATGGCTGGATGTTATTGGAAAAATCTGACAGTTCTGTATTTGTTTTTTCTGGACTGTATATATTGTGATATGAGTATAATCTCTCAGGATGATTTAAAGAACTCTATTTAGGAAGAAATAATCATTTTCATTGATAGGGATTAGGGAATGCATTTCCATAAAATATAATAAACACATTTTAAACATAATTTAATACAATAGTGCTTTAAGGTGCTTCATGGTTTTCTGGAGAGTCTAACACATAGGTCTCAAACTGGATTCCTGGAGGGCCGCAGCTCTGCACAGTTTTGCTCCAACCCTAATCAAACACAGCTGATCCAACTTATCAAGGCGTTCAAGACTACTAGAGACTATTAAGCAGGTGTGGGTTGGAGCTGGTTTGAGCTAAACAATGCAGTGCTATGGAGCTAAAATATCAATACCTGTAAAAACAAAAGTCTCATCATTTTATAGTTTTAACGGTTTTGATGCACTTTAAATGTTGACTACTGTAGTCTTCATTATAGAAATAATTGAATGCAATTAATCTTATCATTTCTTGTGGCCAAATTTACTTGAAATCTTTCATAGTCGTAGCCCTAAAAATCTCACAATAATATGGTTAAACTTTGCATGTGTTCTGTGTTTTCTGGATAATTATAATCCCCACTTGATATAGCAGATCTTGTGATGTGACTATTGCAAATTCACACATTGCTTATGATATCGATGCTGAAATTATATACTGTGCTGGCCTTTTTTTCAATGTCATTGATTTAGATTAGGAAACAGGGAATTTTATTTACAATTACGTGTTGCTGCCTTAATAAAATATACAGTTTTATAGTGAAGTTTTATTAATTAATTTGGAGTCTTTATTTAGTAACCCTTATTAAAAATAAGAACAACCCAACAGTTAATTTGTCCATACTTTACCAAAAATTAAGGCGAAACAACCCAGCATTTTTAGAGTCGAATAACTCCCCTAGTAAATACTTGTTAAATAACTCTTATTATAGTATTATAAGAGCATTCGTAGACTTTTACATCAAGAAAAGTAGAATAAATATACTTATCAGTCTGTTCTATAATAAATAAAGCTCTGGTTGATACGAACACTAGTAGTACTATTAATACTAATTAATATAATTCTAATACAGCATTCATAATAATATATACTTTACTATACTATACTATATGATATACAGTTGAAGTCAGAATTTATTAGCCCCCCTTTGATATTTTTTTTCTTTTTTTAATTTTTAAAATGATGTTTAACAGAGAAGGTAAATTTTCACAGTATGTCTGATAATAGTTTTTTTTCTGGAGAAAGTTTTATTTGTTTTATTTTTATATTTATTAGAATAAAAGCTGTTTTAATTTTTTTTAAAATCATTTTAAGGTCAAAATTATTAGCCCCTTTAAGCTGTATATTTTTTGATAGTCTACAAAAAACCCATCGTTTTACAATAAGTTGCCTAATTACACTAACCTGCCTAGTCAACCTAATTAATTAACCTAGCTAAGCCTTTAAATGTCACTTTAAGCTGTATAGAAGTGTCATCATGACAAAGAAAAAATAAATCAGTTATTAGAAATGAGTTATTAAAACTATTATGTTTAGAAATGTGTTGAAAAAATCTTCTCTCCGTTAAACAGAAAATGGGGAAAAAATAAAAGGGGGCTAATAATTCTGATTTTAACTGTATATAATCCTTATACAGCATTAATACACTTATAACTTATATACAGTAGATGACATAGTTAAAAAAGTTACTTTTAGTCAACAGAGTGTTTAAAGAGCATCGTGATTTTTATTTTGGTTGTAGTCACAGTTATGTTAATGTTTTTCCAGTTCTACATAATAGCAGTGACTTTGCCAAGCAGGGGCGTGATTATGGGCCCTTTGTGGTTTGTTGAAGACCATTTTTGCTGTTGTTTTCTGAATGTTGAAGCTTAATTGTCCTTGCCGGAAGACCATTGCAGTATTGTAAACACATCGACTGAAAACAGCAATTACAGAATGTAGCATTTTAGCAATTTTCAAAAAGTACCGAGCAATTATTCCATGTTATCCAGCTCTCGAATGTCAATATATTTGTGTAGCATTTGTAAATGTCAAGGAAATCATGCTGTGGATAATGACAGAGTGCCAAAGAGCTGAATGAGGTGCATGAAACACACAAGAAAGAAGATGGCAGCGTGTGAGCTGAACTGAAATGAAAAAGGAAATTCTCAAAGATTTCAAGTCGCCCTCGGCTGTAACTCATCTTTCCGATGTTGTTGTGTTGGGTTCTGATCCGGAAGTGATAGATTCTCTTTCTGCTGTGCCCACTGGAAGGATACTTGAAAAGGCACACCCTGCTTCACTGCACTAATACGCCCTCAGTCCAGACAGCATTAAACAATAACTACCTACAGTGCTTGTTCGACTGTGCTTTTGGTCAGGGCACTTTTCTTCTCCGTTTATGACTTGCTGTGTAACCGAAAAACTATTTTGTTCTGGATTTTTTTTTTTTTTTTCCAAAGTAAAGCTTTTTCTCGCCATCTAAAACAACTGACCCTTTACAAGACCTAACCCGCCTGGCCTTGCTATGGTCCACAAGTTTTTGGCTTCAGCCACAATGCTTCAAGTGTCAAACTGTTCACACCCTGGGGACATAATGAATCATTTCTTGAAGACTATCGTGCATAAAACAAAACCAAGATTGAAGCCATAGTTTACAGATCACAAGGTAAAACTGAATGACTTGGAAAATGAGAATGAGCCCCTGTTTACACTAATGCGTTTACGTTTTAAAATGCATAAGTTTTGCTACGGTTACGCCATCCGTCCACATGACGCAGGAGTTTTCGAGTGCTGAAAATGGAGCGTTTTGGAAACGCTGAAGAGGCCATTTTTATTCTAAAACACTGCTGCTCCATCTCAGTGTGGATAGGGGAAAACGGATACATCTGAACACGGAGGCTGGGCTGCCGACATTCGCCTCTCTGATTGGGGCTTTTCCTCAATATTAAGTAGCCCACACACAGTTCAGTCCTGCATTCTCTCCTTGTAAGTTCAGACTTCGCAAGTTTGATATGGAAAACAGGCTCCCGAGGACATGTTGAGTAAATCTTCAAAGGGAACAGTGTATTTTCTAAACTTATTCGCATCATCCTGGATACGTACGCTGTTTCACTTTCTTAACAATAAAATGATAACATGATATAAGGAACTGCCTATTTTCATTTTGACATTAACAACCTAACAGACAGCTGAAATGTTGAGGCGTCGTGCTGCATATACGAGCGTCATCTTCACTGTATGCATATTTATAACAAAACAGAGCCTATAACATTTCTGCCTCCTTTCATTTTTATTGAAAATACGAAACATACCCTTTCTTTTAAAAATCAATGACGGCCCTTATAAAAGTGTATTTAATTCAATTCAATTCAGCTTTATTTGTATAGCGCTTTTACAATGTAGATTGTGTCAAAGCAGCTTCACATAAATGGTCATAGTAACTGGAACAGTGTGGTTCAGGTTTTAGTGTTTAAGTTCAGTTCAGTTCAGTTTAGCTCAGTTCAGTGTGATTTAATCATTACTGAGAGTTCAAACACTGAAGAGTAAATTCATCGATGCGTAGCTCTACCAATCCTGAACCATGCGAGGCAGTGGCGACAGCGGAGAGGGAAAAAAAACTTCACCTGATGGAAGTGAAGAAAAAAAACCTTGAGAGAACCAGACTGAGTTGGGCACAACCATTTTTAAAAAATCTCCAATGCAAAGTTTGCAATTGTTCAATTGTTTTAAATTGGGTAAATTTGCTGTGTTGACCAACAGAATGGTGTTTTGTTTGAAAAGATTTGTGTTTCATACAGTACAATTACATTAGTTTTAATTATTGATCTTTCTTTTTTTTTTTTTGCTATGTGACAGAAGCTAAACAACATTTTAAGCAAAGCAATTTGTGCTGTTAGTTAATTCATGAAGGAATAATTCTTTGGAGTTTGATCTTTTAATCTTTTAAATGAATCATTTAAATCATTTAAACTGGTTCACAAAAACAATTTGATAACAAGTAATGTACAATAAGTTTATACATTATAGGAAATAAAGAACAACAATCGGTCAATATACAGAATGTACATGGTAACATTAAATATTAACTTATCTCTGTGCTCAGCCAAAACACGTGAACAAGTAATAGATTTAAAAGACCAAAGTCGGGGAATATGTTGTTAGATAAAGACAACAAGATGAATTGAATATCAAGTTTAACAAATATAGTGAGATTGGAACAGAGGTAGATTCTTGATGAACAGTCTGACGAGCACAGCTCTCATCTGGCTAGATATGTTGCAGCGCATGCCAGAGTGTGTGTGTGTGGTCACTTGATGTGCGTTTTCAGTGGTGTGGTGTAGACGGAGAGCTGTTCAGAAATGCTGGGTGAAACGCTAGTGTGGACGCGGATCGTTTTCATTCTAGTTTTAAAACTAAAACGTACTAGTGTAAACGGGGCCTTAGGTGAACCCAGATGATCAACACATTTAAAATTTCTAGATTAAAAGCAAACAAAGACAGCATTCTGAAAAGTGCGTAAAGGGTGTACTTTAATTTGTGCATACAATAAGAACTACTATAAATAGTGTTTCTGAAGAAAACAAGGTGCCACATTTGTTTATACACAACTTCCTGAAACTGATATTATTGACAAGAGCAGGCTTGAATTCTGTATATTCCCCCCCAAAAAAAAAAAAATGTGTATCTACTTTCTGTGCTGTGTGAGCATGTTCATACATTTTCAAATTCAAGTTCTGAAGGGTTTGTTTGCCAGAAAAAAATGCAGATAGTGATGCAAGACATAGTATCTATGATGGTCAGATTTTCTGTCTTCATACTGTATTTTTGCACACCTCACATTCTTTGTTT